TCTTTGGAAATTGAGTAATTTGTGGCAGGTAGCCTGTCGCTCATACCTGATCTATCCTATTATTTGATGTAATAAGGGTAGTATTCTTGAATTTATTCAGGTACGCTGGTCGCCACAGGATCGGCAGATTGTTCAATAAAAATTTTGGATGTTGAAAGAATGATTGCTCGCGAGGTGAGAGGTGAAATAAGTGAAAATGGACCCGATGCCAATCATCCTGTCATTCGAACACTGTACGATCACCTTGATGTGAGTTGGTTTTTTGGACATTGATATTTTCTTAACATTTTGAAATGCTTCCGATTGAGTGTATGCGAACTTTATACTCTATAGCAATTGTTATAGTCTTGTCTTTGTCAACTGACTCATCTCTCTGTAAAAACCTGCTCGCCCCCGTCTTCACCCAAGGCTACTAGCGCCCTCCTTCATGTCCCCCACCCTGCCGAGGCGAACAGTGCCTTGAATCTCTCGAACAATGAAACGTGAATGTTGTAGCGCCATGAAGAAATAAGATGCCGTCAGTTTTCGTTATTGCATTTTCAGGAAGTCACTGTTGTCACGTTCCATCCTCGCGAACAAATCCTGGTGTCCGGTTCCACCGATAAAACTGTTAAGCTTTTTGATTTCTCCAAAACTGCTGTGAAAAGAGCGATGAAAACTCTATCAGTAAGTTTGACTGCTACCACTTTTTCAAGAGTTATTGCATTTAAACGGGGCTACTCGAGAAGTTGAATTTTCAGGAAGTGTTCCCGGTAAGAGCTCTGTCATTTCATCCTGGTGGAGAGTTTCTGCTAGTCACTACCGATCATCCTACTATCCGCCTTTACAATGTAGAGACAGCTCAGTGTTTCGTATGTTCTGCTCCAGGTGACCAACACAAGGATGTTGTTATGGATGTGAGCGCTTGCCTTTTTTGACACAATTTTTCATCTATTATTGATTGTGACGTTCTGATCTAAAACTGCTTTCGTTGTAATGTTATGCTACTTTGGTACATGTTTAGGTGAATTACTCGGATAACGCGCGTCTTTACGTTACTGGATCAAAGGACGGTGACGTTAAAGTATGGGACGGGATCTCGAATAGATGTGTGGAAACCTTCAGCCGAGCCCATGACGGTGCTGCTATTTGCTCAGCGAAATTTACCAGAAATGGAAAGGTAATTAGTGATTTTTGTACAGGAAGAGCCTTTGCTGCTTCAGAAGGTATTCATACTTCGCGTCGCGCTTTGACGGTTTCGAGCTGACGGCAGTACGCTCAAAACGCTGACGCAAATTATGTACGCACTCCTTCATCGCCAAGGCGAATCCTATGTGATGGGCTTCTAATGGATATGACTCTACTTCCAGTACATATTAACTAGCGGAATGGATAGTATCGTCAAATTATGGGAGTTGTCCACGAATCGCTGCCTTATCGCGTATACTGGTGCAGGAGCTACTGGCAGACAAGAGTTCCCCGTAAAGGCCACATTCAATCATAACGAGGACTACGGTATGTTTTTCAGGGATTTCTTTGTTTTTTTTCATGTGTGGCTACAATTAAACTTCCGCGAAGATTTGTGGAGTTGAATCAATAAAAGCATTAGTTGGAAGCATTGAGGTAAAGGGAGGAAGGTATAATATTACCTTTATATAGAGAGATGTAGCTGCTTCAGCAAATGTGGTCCTGTAGCTTGAGTTTCATAGCTGTGTACTGTAAACCAGTAGCTGTTGAGGTAGACCGGGGTAATGATGGAGCCCTTATGAGAAGCTTCTCTTAAGCCGTTGGTCCTCGTCTAAGGCAGTATTGCGTGATTGAAACGTCTGGAGTTGTGAGATTGTAATTCTATAAGTTTCAGTACTATTTCCTGACGAGAAGTCTGGAAGTCTGTGCTCCTGGGATGCTCGCAATTCTGACAGGAAAAGGCTGCTGGCTTTAGGCAAGTGTTTTTTTATTCCGATAAGTTCTTTAATTCCATGGTTGTTCTTATAGGTCATACTGCTGCTACTCGCGTCTTCGTCCATTCGAACAGGTTCCTGCCTTTTTGAAACAGCAGCGTATGATTCTGCACGGTTTGCGTCCGCGAAAGGAGCACGGTATTAGAGAGATCTTATCTTGTTTTACTTCCGCAGCGAAAAAACGACTGACATGTTCTTGTTGTGTTATGTCTGCATTTGACAACTCCACTCTGTCGATGTCCCTATCTGTTTGTCGCGAGTCGCCAGCGCCCTCAACTTTACCGCGGATTTTTGCAGTTTTTCGAGAATTTGATCCTGGCCGGAACTCGACCCAGGCCTTCCCTATTCAGTTACCATCCTTCACAACTTTCTCCCAGCTTCCGTACCGATCTCGCTTCGGAGATTTTTTTTCGTAACAGTACCACACGGTGCTCTGGTTAACACCGCCAGGTGCTGTCATTCTTATTCTTAAGGTGCGGTAGATTTCCGAGGCTCGTTTGTGGTTTGGACTTTCAGCAAATAGACATCCCTGCCCTTACATGTATCTTTCCGGAGGCATAGGAAGAGGATGCTAGTCTTTGGGTTGCCTCTGCGTGTGGTCGGCCTACCGCAAACATCCCCTTCATTCGTGTGCCCCTAAAGTTTTGAGACGATGGGGACCAATAAGAATGGTAGGTGTTGCCCCACCCATACAATAGGCATGGACTTTCCCTTTAAGTACTGTAACGGAGATTCGTAATCAAATCACTTATGCAAGTACAGCATCTATTAGAAGTTTTTCATCATTGATTACCTGGCCCTAATGTGTTATTTTTTGTTAGTAGAGGGGATCCACAGCGTCTCTGGTCCTTCCCAACCAAAGCTCAGGCTCAGCACGGAGATAGTCATGGTCGGGTTGGGACTGTCTGCTCTGCGAGAGTAGCCCGCGATGACTCTGACTGCCTGTGCTCTAAGCCTTGGACTTGTTCTCGAGAAGGAAGCAGTCGCTGTGAAGTGCCCTGTCTCCTCCCCAGTACTTGAGCGCGTTTGGGATGCTCGCGCCTACAGTCATGTATTCTTGTGGTTATTTGTGGTTGCGAGTGCTAGTTCGTTGTTGATGTAAATATTTATTCACGTGTTGATGCTCCTGATCTTATATTTATGAAGCTGTAATGTCTAGGTGAAATTTTTTTTGTATACTTCGGAAAAGTAGTATTAAAAGATTGTCCTGATTGTGTTGTTGTGGTAATTTACTTTGAAGAAATTAAAAGTTAAACGATTTGTTGTCTTTTCTTAAAACGAATGGCGTATCAATGCCCTTCCTGTTCTTGATTACTCGAATTTGATTTAATGATTTATTACCGGCGGTTCTATAAATTACGTATAATACCTTTTCTTGTACTCCTTAACATTTCTACTAAAATCTCTGAAATGACCATACAGAATCTTCTATAATTGCAGACTGCAGATTTTTATATTGATGCAGAAAAGTGAGTTGAGACCTTTCTTACTGCCATAAGTTTAGTAGTCTCAGACCCTTTTGGATCGGAAAGGATTCTTAGGCGTTCCTTCTCGTGAAGGTTTCATTGCAGCCAGCTCCTCTTCTTTGATATTCTTCTCTGCTACTTTGTCTATTCGGACCGTTACGTCTTCCCTTTTATCTGAAAGGACACATTTGATTTGATTGACACATTTGACACACACGAACATTTCGAAGGAGTTTTTTCTGCTGTTTTTTTTCACTTTTGTATTATTTGCCATCTTGTCATGAGTATATGAGCCCCACAACTCACCATTTTTGAACGCGGACGCACAGGGTACATCCTCAGTGTGTGAAACACATGGGGGAATGATATTTGACCGCATGACAGGGGGGTGCATTTGGTCGTCGTTGG